CGTCTGAGACAGGAAAAATAATGAACGAAGACTAATTTTATTGAAAAATCCAGTGTTTTTCTTCCATAGGAAAAGCTAAAGTTTTTGAACAGTTTTTGAGCTTTTCTAAGCAGTTGTTTTGATATTCGATATTAAAAGGTCTTTATAACCTTTACCATTTACTACCAATAAAGCTAGTTTTTGACGGGCTTTAATTTGGTATAAAATACATTTGTGATATCATGGATACTGTAGGTTGTAAAGGGGGAGACAAAAGTTATGGGACACCCTGTAGATATTGGCTAACATTTTCATTAAATCAATGATTCTCTATCTCTGTTCATCATTTAAAAACACATGAAAAAGGTAATGAGATTTGTTTTTTTTTCTCACCAAGCGAAAAAATTTATCGATAAAAGGTATAGAAAAATTTGGTTCTGTATATTTAATTCATCGTTCCTTTCTGCAAAATCAAAAAAAGTTTTTTCCATTCAGATCAGAATTTTCTTTCAACTTTTATTCAAAAAAACAAATCATTTAAATCTATAAAATATAAAACTAACTTCTATGAAAAATGTATTTTATGTCTGTTCATATGAACTTATCCTTTTCTTCCTAACGTAAGTCGACGAATATGTAGTCAATATGTGCTTGAAACTGACATATTCGATTTTCTACATTAAAGACAAAACGTCGATGTAAAAGAACACTTAAGTGACGTTTTTATGAAAATAATTTCAAGACTAAGAGATTTAATTATATGTATAATAAAATGAGAGTTCGAAAATATTAAATGATCTCTCTCAACTTCTTCTACAATAATACTCGAGGAAATTCAATCGGAGATTTTTATCAAAAAAATAATAAATAACTACAATAGAAATATTCTGAAAACATAATTTTCAAAAAGAAATTTTCCAAAAACAATTTATGAAATGAAAAAGCAACAATATCATGGAGTTATCTTACTTTATTAGACCAAGCCTCATTTGATTGTACAAATCTTTTAATAGGCGGCCCCGATGGTGAATCTTTGTCCCATAATACCGGCAGATAAACTGACAATCGTTCAAGATTGGGTACACGTTCAATAAGTTGTTCAAGAAAACATGTCAAATTAAGATGAATATGTAAATAACGAAGAGTCATACAACAATATTGAGCTGTATTGAACATTGAATGCGAACAAAGATCAGAAAATAATGATAAAGATTGATGAATATTAATAGAAGAATAATCATAAGGAATATTAAATCGAAGAGAAGTTAATTGACATTTACCAGAGAAAAGTTGACGAAGAAGGTTATTGTACATCAATAACAGTTTTTTTACTATGCCAGACAAAAAAAAAACAAAGTTATATCATTAGAATATAAATATTACAATTCAAATATATTATTATTCTCAATATTCAAGTAAATCATATCATTCAAAACTATATTAGCTTATTCATTTTCAAAGAATCTCAGTTTTATATTCTGATTTAACGTGACTTAAGGCGTCCTCACAATGGAATTGTAGCTTAGAATGATCCACTTGGACTGATATTTTCAGGAATGAGTGGTCCTGGTGAGAAATGCTTTTGGTAAAAATTTCAGCCTATACTTACTACTAGACCCAAACTTCCGGTCAATTTATGGCTTCCAGGAGAATTTTTATAAGTCCGTCATTGAACGAGGTAGAGGGCTCGTTTCAGATTAAAGCTAACATCTATGCGCAGTTTTTGTCTGAATAGAATGTTTAAATTCCCTTTCATTCATTTTTCATGAGCATTTTTAGCAGACATGGTGTAAAAATCAGCATAACAAAAGTGGTACCACGACAGTAAATTCCACTTTTCTCACCTTAGGTAACAAGTATAAAAAGATCGGGTCGGACAAAAGTTTACGCTTTTTTAGACCTTTAAAACAAAAAAACATTGGATATATCTCGAACCGTGAGGGAGTTATTTCAATTTTCCTGATTAGAAACCATATTTTGAGAAAACTCTAAAGTTTTAAAAAATACCGCAAAAATTTCTGGAAAAAGATGGTAGTAGGGCAGAAGTTTCTTGCGATACGTCGGTTAAAATTTGATTGTTTTTCAAAAGTCTATAGATCTTCTGAAAGAGAACACTTCGCGACATCTTTCCATGCAAAATAGTCAATATCGATATTTTTTTAAAAATAAGATTTTCTGATGGAAGGCCCCTTAAGAAAACAAATCAATAAAAATTTCCATCCAATTTTTATGATTATAGAAAGTAACAACAAAGTTGTTAATTCTTATACTTTCATTTATCTTTCCAACTTCTACCTTTCAATATTAATTAAAACTCACATTAGGAGAGATACAATTTAAGTAATTTTAACAATTAAAATATAAGTAACAGAAAACTGCTGACTTTCAATCGGTTTACATTCAAGTTAATCTCATTAAAAAAATGATAAAAACCGGAAATGATCAGTTTCTCTCTAAGTGTAAATAAGGTAGAAATTAAAGAGGGAAATATCTCAACTGTTTATGATCTTGTGATCCCATCTTTTTCTTATAAGTAAGTTTCAGCGAAATCGAAATAAAATTCCAAAAGCGTTCGTGCCTATGGCTCTTTTCTCTCGAGATATGATCAAATCTATGTCAAAAAAATGCTTTTTAATTTTTTTTAAAATTTTCATACATAAAAGTGTACGAGAGCAAATGCTTAACTCTTCAATCTTTGCCAGTTTGTTATCTAGTTTAGTTTAGTTCTCAAATTTGAATAGATTATTGCCACTGATCAAGTTTCTTAAATATATATAACGTTGGAAGTCTTTACAAAGATATAAAAATGATATATTGAAACAAATGATCGAAAGACTATTATTTTGGCATAGACTTAATCATAACTCGGGAGAGAAAAGCCACGGATATGAATGCTTTTAGAATTTCTTTCAGCCAAAATATGGAGTTAAAAGCGCTTAAACAGTTGGCATACCTCTCTCATAAGTTACTCTTTTTTATTAACGTTAACTTCTATTTTTCCTAATATAATAAACTGATTGTTGTTCTCAGAAACGATCAACACTACATTCAATGACATTGCTTTTCACATAAACTCAAAATAAAAAAGAAATCTGTCGATGAAATTTCTAATCAGATTGATAGTAGAAACTATTCTATTCTCCGCGTGTTTCAATAATAAAAATTGTGTAATATAAAGTGATTCTCCAAGAAAGTAGTTCTTCTCCAAAGGTATATACCTGTTAGTAGAGAAGTTCTTTTTGTTTTAAATATTTGTGCATCTAGAATGTTTAATATTTTCTTTTTCCTGAAACCCGATCTTTTATTTCAATTGTCGCTATACACTCGTTATTTCTATGCTCCTCCCATAATAAAAAATCCCCCTCTTATATCACGTTCAAGCGTCAAAGGTTTCAAAACTGGTCTTCTTATATGGAACATACTTCTATCATGGGAGAGGAGTAGTTTTATTTCTTTTTTTTTCGTGTTCTTCTTGTTGATTTGATAGGTGCATTATTTTCGATGTATATTTATTTAGTTATACTGTATATGTCAATATATATTAATGAATCTTATAACATTCACATTGATTTTAATCTAGGATAAAAACTCTAGAAGACTGAGTAATCTTGTGATTATTATCAAGGTACTATCCGTCTGAATAAAGTCGTATACTCAGCGATCTTAGACTTTGAAAGTTGGGAAAAGCCTCGATCTAGTTTTTCCCTGACTAGTTTCATCAGGAAAACATAAATGAGTCATATAAAAAACGAAACAATATCATTAAATGTCCAATAATGAACTCTAAAAAGAAATTTTGAACGATGAATCAATTCCACTTCATTGATAAAATAATCCATTACAAGAATAAATGATTATTACCTTGATTAGATTCAGCTATCCAAATATCTTTATAACGAATTAGTTTATTAATATCTGTATCTACGATTAATGTGAGTTCATCCAATTGATATTCAATAAGTAAAGATAAATTTGCTATTAATGATTCGGACAAATTACATTGATTAAGAATAAGTGATTTAAGATTAGGATAAGTAAAAGTATTTTTATTATAAAAACAACATTGATAAATGAGATCATAAGAATTTGAATTTGTTCCATCCAAATGAATACGTCGAATAGAAGAAATGAGAGATGGTGAATTATGAATTAATGGCAATAATGTTGATGAAAGTCTATGATAAGATAAACCTGGTTGAGCAATAACAATTGTATTTTGATTTATTGAAAAATTTGAACAGATTAGAGAATTAAATCGGCTATTTAATGACCAAAAAGATATTAATATATCATTCCATGACAAATAATAAAATATAGAAATAATAATTTCATTTGGTAATATTTCTAATCTACTAATCATTTTATCTGAAATATAAATAAAACTAGTGAGTTGCCTGTGCAAAGAGCTATTGCGCGGTGAGTGTCTGTCTGTACTAATGTCAAAAGTCAACCACCACCTCACCCCGTTGACCTTTGACCTAGCACAGACAGATACTGAAGATTATATATAATATAGATTATTTCGAGATGAAAATATTCAAATTTTTATTCTTTTATTATATTAATTTAGAAAATACAATACAAATATCTTTATTCTTTCAAAATGGAAATAAAAAGTTTGCATTCGAAACGTTTTTAATTATAAGAAAACTCTAAAAAAATTACAAAAAGATTCTAAGAATGAGTAACGTGATTAAATTTTCTAAAATGATATTACAACATCAAATGTGTTTTATCTAATGTCAATAAAATGAATGAATAACAGATCTAGCATATCAAGAAAGAAGGATAATCTCAGTTACAAACGTTTCTCTTCGAGATGTGTCAGTATATTTCTGCTAAGAAATACTTTGAAGAGAAAGAATAATAAACGAAAAGAGAACAAAGTTTTAATTCAAACTACAGAATTAATAATAATAAAAAAGGTAAAGGAATAGAATTTATTAATAATTTGATGAGTATTTATATTTCTTGTATACAAAATACTTTTCACATATATTAGAATATGAAATAGAGCACTTACAATTGAACTATTTGTAATTGAATACTGATTTACTTTTAAGCTCATGAAAACAAAATAAACTATACTTTCAAGTGAATTCATGACAGATTTCACATTAAAATGAAGATAAACATTATTGTTAAATGAGTTTTATCTTGATGAATGGATAAACTTTTTTCTTTGTTTTGTATTTTCAAATAATTGTCTTATAGAATATTCACTGTTTGACCCCTTTCTATCATTCAACATTCTATCATCCAGTCTGTAATGTAGAAGAAAAATTTATCTTTTTTTTCTTTTTCTCTTCAAACGAAGCAATTTGACCAATATGATTGAACGGTCAGTGGATGGTTTTTTTTCCTGCGACTGCCGTGATCGTTCAATCTTCGATGTAGAAGAGAAATAGGGAAAAAAAGCAAAACATACAATAACGAAAATGAACGAAAATAAATATGATAACAACAATCTTCTGTCGATTTTTTTTCAATTAACTTGAGTGTTCGTACAACGTTGAAAAATGCATTTTTTTTCAGTAAAAACAAAAAGATCCTATTCATCTAAGAACTTTACGTACGATTTTATATCGATATATTACTTGTTTTCAAAAACAAAGAGAAGAAATGGTAAACATCAATCAAAATTATTCCTCCTTTTTTTATGAAGAGAAGACTCTTATCATATTTAGAACATGATTTTATTTCTTACATATATGAACAGTAGTATTCATAAAGGTTAAGCCACAGTTTGGTGTCACAATTTTCATCCCTGTTCTCAAAATGGTAAAAGGGTAGTTTTTACATATAATTGGGAAAATATCATTGAAAGTGCTACTAGATCTAAAACAGCAAGTTAAAAATTTCAGATAATCTGTTTCAACAGTTTTGATAGGAGCTGATCTATTTACGCAGATCTCTTGAGATGTCCATTTGAACTTTTGAAGTTGAACTGTCCTAGGTTTAAATGAGACTATGCCCAAAAAACTAATATCCTTATCTCTAGGTTGTGTGATATGTGTCAAAGAAGTCGGATAGGTTGAGGGTGGGTGTGGGTGTGGGTCTTCTGTTGAGTCACACCTACACCCACACCCACACCCCACCCACATCCACCCACACACCACACCCACCCACACACCACCCACTACACCCATCCTTTTTTTCTGTTCGAGATTCAGCAATTGGTAAATATCATTCACCACAAACACATCGTCAACCATATGTAAAATTATTAACACAATCCTCAACACCTATTCGAGTTTTGAAAGGTATTTTAAGACTTGAAAAATGATCGAATATAGATTAATTCTACATTTTAGATACTTCTGTTTTTAATAGCACACAAAAAAAAGAAATTTTCAGAATGAAGAATTATCAATTATTACAGACACTAATGATATTTATGATAAAATAAGTCTTCGACTTGAATCTATTGAAAATACTCAAAAAAGAATTAAGAAATGACGTAAACTCCATGATGAAGCTATTAGAAGAGATTTACCAAGCACAACTAACAACACTTAGTCATCAGAAACTAGTGAGCAGATTGAAGTCTTTTGTTTCATTATCTGTTTATTATTTTACAAAAGAATATTGCAACAATACCTGCAACTAATATTCAACCAATTGTAGATCGGATATATTTAATATCTACAACTTTAATTTCCTTTTTAGGTTTTCAATGGGATCAATCTAGTGGACAAAGAATCACCAATTGAACCAACTGCTCTATTGTGTTCTTCAATACGAAAGCTATACACACACGATGAAATAAAAAATGGTATAGATTTTGATGGACGTATGCAGAGCATAAAAGGTATGAGTGGTAAAACACCAGTATATGTTTTGAAATTATATACAGCGCAGGTTCAAAGTCTGGTACCACTTTTTTGTTTTGAGTCGTGTGTTAAAAGTACACAACATTAATTTAACTCAATTATATACTTGGATAGTAGAGATCGAGTACTATATGTATACACCTGTTCAATTCGAAAAACCCTTGAATATGAAATACCATAAGAAAAACAAACTTCAGTACTATGAAAAAAAGTACATAAAAAAAGACAAATTCATATTGTTATTATAGGATACTTCCATAGGCAGCCAACCATAAAACACTCAAACTATTCAGAAAACTCTTTGTTTTAACAGACTTTTTAGAGCTTTTTTCGCAGATCATGTTGAAAAGAAAACATTTTAGATTTCATTGAGAAATTACGGAATTATAGGCCAAATATTAAACACTATGAAATATCGGCTGTCTCAAAATGTTTGCAACATAGTTTGTTTTACGAATATCTCTGCACAGACAAATGATAAAATCTTGGCTTTTTTTCAAAAGATACGCCGTGAAAAGCTCTACAAAACCTGTGAAAACAAATCCATATTAACTTGTTCTGATGGTTTCTTCCATATTCGCAATGAAAAAAAAAATACACGATAGTGTTACATCCCACCGTATTTAACATAAAAAATGTTTGTAAAACTTGTATATTTTGCATGTATGTCGACTGAACAAAATGATACCACCTTGATTTTTTTCAAAATATGCGCCGTCGAAAGTCCTATACAAGCTGTATAAACAAATGCCTATTGCAAAACAAAAGCTTCAAAAATGCCTTCTAAACATTTTTAGTATCATTTTGTCTTTTTTTATGTAATTTTTTTCATAGTACTGAAGTTTGTTTTTCTTATTGTATTTCATGTTCAAGGATTTTTCGAATTGAACAGGTGTATATATATAGTACTCGATCTCTACTATCCAAATATACAGTGTTGTGAAAAATTATAGAATCACCTGTTTGAGTCCAGTTATTTGCTCGTTCTCTGCCAGTTAAGACTT